CGATGTCTTCGTAGGCTCACTCATGATGTGCTCAATCGGGGTCACCAGTGAGGCGGTGGTGATGTAACTCCAAATAAATTATGTTGGATTTTTAAAGTTTTTATTCACCACTCACATGTGTAAAAAGTAATAAAATATAAGCACAAAAGTACAGACAATGCTATAGAATAAAGAAGGCGAACGTGAGCAAAAAAGAAATATGAAAACTACTTCAGGTTGACATCTAATAATATGAACAATAAATTTGAATTAAAACAACGCGTGCTACATGCATCTCAATAATAATAATCTGTGGACGCGACTCTCGTATTTCGCGGGCTACCTCACGCATGCGCGAGCCGCGACGCCGCGCCGCGCGGTCTCACGCCTGCGCAGTAACCGCGTCCCGAGCTAGTGCGAGCGCCAAAATTATATACAAAGAAACTAGATGTGTTTGTCCTTGTGTAACACATTCAAACAAATACATTAAATATTATTTCTTAAATTTAACATGTTAAACAATTTTATATATTATGTTATTGAGTATTTGTACATATAATTTAATTAAATATAATATTTTTTTTATAATGTTTACTTTGACAATTATTTTATCTTATGCATATACATTTATTTATATGTAGGTACACTACAACGGTAATTAATGCTGAATGTATTGTTTCAACCCGATGTTAAGAAAATCGATATAACTTCAGTTATGAGCTAGAAGCGCTGTTTCTGCGTTATGTATAACCATTGTAACTGAATGCATGATAAACTAGTATGTAATTTAATTTCAATATAAGATTATATTGTAAATACTTTGTCATTCTAAGTAAATGAAAAAAATTATATATTCATATAGCACTGCGGATAATAATATATAGTTATACATATATGCGTATAGGTGTACTCGGATTTTTACGCCACACAATTTGCAATACACGAGCGCCTACAACGACAATATAAAATCTATTTTTCTAAATAAACTGCTGTAAACGACAGATTTTATTTGACATATAAATGTAGAAGCATATTTCTCATATAAAAAGAGTTTTTTCATAGATGCCTCGTGTCAAATTCAAAGTAAAAATTTTGCTATGAAAGATGTTTCAAGAAATAAACAAACTATTTCAACCAAAAAACATGTCTAAGACGGTAAAAAAAAAGTACTTTTGTCCAACATATGAATGCTATTTGTAATATTTCTATTGTGTAATTCTTTCTTTGTGGTGGAAATTTACACGCAGCCGTATGTGGGCGTCAAACAAATATCGAGAAATATATAATCATTATTTTATAGATATTGAAAAACATATAAGGGTAAAATACCTATATTCTAGTTGACATTAAATTTAGAGGTTACATATGCCTTTGTATATCAGAAGTCGATTTATGGAAATAAACTTATTTGAAAAATACCATATTTTTATACATGTCTTTGCAAATTATTATTGGTACTCAACAAAAACATCCACGTTCTTGGAATAGAGATATTTAATAATGCTTAAATTGTATTGCAATTTAGCAGATTATTGCTTGAGACTTTTTAGGCATTTTATATATAACTATGCTTGAGACTACAGTATTATAACTTATTATGTAAAAACTCCTACGTGAGTGAAGTCTTTAAATAATATATATATTTTTAAAGAATTCACTCTCAAAACAATCTAAAAAATAACAGGATACATAAAAAAATAATTGAAATGATAGGTTTACTTATAATATCATAAATTGCAGATTTATTGTAATTTCAATAAATCTGTAATTTATTAGTATTTTCTCGGCACTACTATAATAATAAGTTAAAGTTACTAAAATTATAGATGAGATATTATTTTGTTTGTCCTTCTATCGTGTTGCAAAGAGGCGTTCTTATGGCATATTCTTTGTTTAGAGTAAGTTCTGTTCCCGGAGAGTAACAAAGGCTACTGTAGTAACAGGTAGTCTGAAATCCACTCGATAATAAAAACCGAGATCAAGAGTATACTCTTGCGTATGAGAGATCACGACAAAAATATGAAGTTTGTTTCTTATACAACTATAAGGTTACTTTACCACTTACACTTACTGCAGTGTCAACACACTGCAGTAAGTGTAAGTGGTAAAGTAACCATTACTGAGTACTGGTGGTGGATCACTATGTAAAGTACGTTAAATAGTAACATGTATTATACTTTAAATAAAAACTTTAATCAATAAGTAAGAAAATTAGCGAGATGTTTTGTTAAACAACTTTAAATCGTTATATATCCTAAACTATTATTTAAAATGAAAAATAATAAAAGGAACCAAAAGATGATTTTAAAATACCCATTCAACGACACCCCACTTGACATAGTTCATCGATTGTTATTTTTTTCATTTAGACAATATGGCGTCTGGTTGTCGCTGTGGTGAATTTTGAGTACTGTCATGACTTTAGTGAGACTCGCAAGGTTAAGACGAATCGATTGACGTAAGAATCATCAAAATCGGCCTACGCATTTGGTCTCTAGAACGCCACATAGAAACAAACATACATACATAGACTGATATACACATTATCCTCCTTTGCGTCGCGCAGTCGGGTAAAAATTAGTAAGAAACTTATTTTTTGTACTAATATAATAGAGAAGAAAGTGTTGATTGTTTGTTTGCGGTGAATTGACTCCGAAACTACTAAAGCGATCTAAAAAATTCTATCACCTACGGGAAGCTAATTCATATGCGGTGAACAAGGCTATATTTTTTCTCGAAAAACAGTGATTAAAGGGATGAAAGTGGTAGTGCAAGTAAAGGGAATTAAAACGTTACCATAGTAACCACTGTTTACTATTCAATTGTCATTGTTATTGCATTATATTTTGCATTCACAATGCCATACTGAAAATTATTCTTAATACAAAATGCTTAAAAAATCCACTTGGTCCCTGGCACCCTGAGATGGGAATCGAACCCACGACCTTTCGTAATCCGGGCGATTGCTCTAACCACTGAGCTACCCAGGACCTAACAGGACTGAAGAATCTTTCAAGCACTTGTTACTTTTCGCTACTACAGAGCGTATTCTCATCAATGTTCAGGTATCCACCCAAACAGCCAAAAGAAATATTGTTACAAATATTGAAACTTTTGATAGAGATGAGAATTTTGTTCCAATTATTATATTTTTATAAATTTAAGGTCGTGGGTTCGATTCCCATCTCAGGGTGCCAGGGACCAAGTGGATTTTTTAAGCATTTTGGATATCTATGCATATTGTAATATTTTAAACAAAAATATTTTATTTATTATAAAATATAATGCCATCGCACATCTTAAATATTTATTATTTTAACATAACCTAGATAAGAACACTTGGGCTACTAAGACAAATCTAACGATACCTCAATTATCAAAATCCGTTCAGCGGTTCTTAAGATATGAGGTAATAAAGAGTATTACATACATACAATATACGCACGAAAAAGATGACCCTTCCTTTGCAGTCGGGTAAAAAGTAGAATAAGCTACTAAGACTCTACCTTGTAAAACTCGTTTACTCTCTCAGAAGTTGATGTAAATATTAAGTAAGAAAAAGAAGTTCTTAATTTAATTTTTTTTTTAATTATTTGCTAGTTACTTATGAAAAAATATGCGGATTTTCATTAAGTGGAGAAATTATTAAATTCGCTTCAGAAATTTAGGCATTATTCAATTACAATGTATTAGTAGAAAATCTCCCGCAATGACTGTCTAGTGAAAAATCTACTCTACGGATTTTCATGTGGCAGGTTTATTATAATTTAAAGCCTTATATAAACTGGCTGAAGTATCACGACGATGATACCAGAAAAAGTCACGAAGATTGAGAGCTTACAAACATAAATTGCTCTGGTAGCTGCGAAGCCGTTGACGTTCCTTAGTAATATTATTAGAAGCGGGATTTCTTAATCCGACTGAAGTTCTGGAAAGTTTTTGCGACGTTTACCAAACAATATTGTACTGGGATTATTTTTAAAATCTCGTTATATTGTTAAGCTACGACATTGTTTTTTTCCGAGAATTCTAAATATACCAAGAACAACGTCCATTATTTCAATTTTTATTATAGATGTGAAGTTTCAAACTTAACAGGTATTTTCGTAAGAGATTTTATGTTTAATTTTAACAAATTAGTCCATCATATTTCGCTAGCTCTCAGCCGGCTACTTTGCTCACGTCGTTTAGGTACATGACGATTTAATTGTACTTTTAATCCTAGGGAACCATTTAGGTGGCATAAAAAGTCTAATAGACTTTATGTCGATGCAGGCTTTCTATATTGATATAGCTATTTTCTTCAACCTTTATTTATTTAAAGTTTCTATGTGGCGACATTACAAAAATCAAAACAAACTTTCGCCTTTATAATATAAATAAAATTAGAGAAATGATTCTTTTAGTTTCTAATTAAAACCTCCTTTTTTACAACAGTCCAATTATCTGAGTTTAAATCAAAAATACGACCCAAGCATTAAATCTGAAAATATATTTTTTAATACTTAATATTTTTCACAGAAAACATTATTTATTTTGTTTGATCAATACGTATATTGTTGTTACTATACGTGACTCTTTATTCAGGTCCTCTGATCTTCAATATACAATCTGAATTTTCACATATGATGATTATATCTATCTTGTCACTGTTGCAACAAATACTAAAAACGGAATAAAATAAATATAAAACGGAGGATCCCAAACAAGAAACGTAATATTTATTGCGCTTTTTTTAGATAAACGTACTAACCCTTCGCGCGTGCATGCAATTCGCATATTTCTTATATTTAACGTTGGAAACGATCAAAATGCGGTTATGTTGGCTTGCTAAAACGTTCCATATCGTTGACAATGCACGCGTGTTACTATACACCAAAGAAATTAATGCTAAAATTACAATTGTCCTATCACAATAATAATAGGAGAAACTACTATTGTTCCCCTTCCATGTCACAATATTATATATTGTAACGACCACATGTTTCGAGTTTTAAACACGTGAAATGTTATTTAGAAAAATGAACGTTCGCCTAGCTATTATTCTTTGTTTATTGAAGCTTTGTACCTCAAACGATATTGGCAGTGAGAACAAATCGAGTATTATAAATGCAAGAACTTCATTGAATAGGTTTTCGTTACCGAAATGGAATTCAGCTCATGTTAAAAAGAATAGTTTTGTACAGAAGCAGGAATCTAGGTTCTGGCCGCCGGTACAAAAAGAAAGCAGATGTGAGTATTATTAGTTTAGTTTATTACATTTTTGCTGAGCGTAATGATTTTTAATTTATTTATGTATATGGATAACCGACAGGCAACAAATACAAAATCTCGATCTTAAGCAAAAACAGATAGCCAATTAGAGGTCCTCGCTTATACCGCTTACAATTGCAATAATATTGGTATATACAAACTACGCTACTGACAGTGTAATATATATTAATAATAAATACACACGTACACAGTATTAATTATATTTTTTTAATGTTGGTAATAGTTGGCGAAGTATAAATTGTTTAGATAAGCTGGAGACTGTAAATAGTGTGAATGAAAAAACTTAAAAAAAGCGTTGCATATTGATTGTCCAGTATTAAATATAATGTCACCGTAGTTCAAGTTGTTGGGTAAATCATTAGTTTTAGATTTAATAAGCTTCCAATATTTTTTTTTTTTTAATTATTAATTTTCAACTGTATTTATACAGATACTATAGCATAATTTTTGGGGCAAAACTTTCTTTTCATTTTATATGAAGATTCAAAACAATTTTAATAAAGTTTATTTACATTTGACTAAAATATGTATGCACAATTTTGTTCGATAACTTTGTGCCATCATATAGATCATGATCCCGTTGCTATAGGAATGTTTGAGGCTTCTGATCAAATGGATTTGGCAGTCCTCGCGTGATGTTAACCTGACACTGCCTAAAAACCGGAAGAGATCGAAACAGGTGGAATCTGGAAATATTTGCTGAGTTGCAAAAGATGTGTGAGGTCTAGAGTTATCATAATGAAAAACCTACACCCCTTATGCAACTCGATATCGATTTGCGATATCGCGTTGCAAAGGTCGGTAATAGGATGGGTGACCAAATTTTCTTTACACGTTAGTTAAAAAAAAGAAAGAAAATAATTAAAGGAAAAAGATGAAAGAAAGAAAAAGAAGAAAAGAAAATAAAGCTGCCTGTCCCACCTCACCTGCTCAGCAAACTGAAAGATATCGATCACCTCATTTATCGTATTCCATTACTGGCCTTTGCAATCGTTGCTAGATTAACGATTCGCCGTTGCCAAAATTGTTTTTAAAAACAATTAAAAATATCAGTTTGTAATATTCTTATTGAATCTAGCAATTAATATTATTTAATTTAAATTAATTAATTGCAATCTTCAATTAACATATTGATTGCAATACAATTTTCAATCAATCCCTAATATGAATATGGCGATCTATGTGCTCAGCAAAAGGCGCCTTAAAGCTGATGATGTAATAAATGATACATTTCCTTGAATAGTTCTGTCCCTCTTCACGGTGGTGACGTTCCCTAATGGCGCCTGTGCTGCAGCATCAGGCGACAACGGCACCTGTATGACGGCTCGCGAGTGTTCAGCACGGGGCGGCTCTGCCAACGGCTACTGTGCCAATGGATTCGGGTTGTGCTGCATTTGTACGTAATTTAATTTGATTAGAAAATCTAAGATACAAAATTGCTTTGCCTATAGGCTCCCTTTCACTCTTTGTGCATATTACTCTTACAAATGATCATTCTGAGAAAAGGTAAAGAAACAGATGTATTCCGACCATGAATTCGAAATCGAAAAGCATTCAATACTCGCATTAAGAATAGCTAAATTATTTTGTGGCTAACATATGACATATATATGCCATATATATCATTATGTACGATTATAATCGAAATCAACTTTACTTTAACTGAGTTAAAAACTTTATATATACAACATCTGATATAACACAACCCTGGAATGTACGCAAAAATATAAAAAATAATCTAATTCAACAAATAAAAATAATAATATTATATTTAAACAATTTTGCATTCACATCCATCTCAGAGTGTCAGGGGCAAAGTGAATTTTTTAAATATATTGAGAATATTTTGCAGTATAACATTGTGAATGCAAATTTTCATCATTACCGAATGTCTAAATATTAAAAAAAAAAAATTCTGCTGTGTGGGTGGAATGCCTGAACATTGATGATTACGCTCTGTAGTAGCAAAAAAGTAACAATAGGGATGATGACTAATTTTTGTTTGTTTGTCCGTCCGTTTTTTTATTTTTTTCGTAATCATAAAATTACGGCGTTACATTGAGTTGAAATTTCGCATGACGTCACGTTAGAGTACGTTTTCTACTCAACTGTGACGTAGCGAGCCCCCACTCCTCAACTTTAATGCCTGTTATCTAAGCTATTGTTAAATTGAAGTAAAAAAATACGTATCTAAAATTTTTCTATTATCTGACTGACGGACTAAATAGAAGTGCATTTTTTTTACCCAGTCATCATCCCTATTGCTTGAAAAAGTCGTCAGCTACGTTAGGTAGCTCAGTTCAAGTTCATGTCAGAGTGACAGGGACAAAGTGGATTTTTCATTAAGAATAAAAATAATACTTTTTGATTTGGCATAATGGATTTTAATATGTACCAAAAGAAAATATTTCATTTAAAATTTATTTCGTGTTCGTGTTCTTATAACATAGCGCTTTATCATGATTATGATTTTCGTGCTTTAGCAAGACTGAAGTGTCTTAAGTCTAATAGTGCTTTCAATGTTGTATCTTAGGGATTATTTTTTAATTTGAAGGTATTTTATTAGAAAAAATCCGACTACTCGGCTTCTCGTTTATTACACAGTACTTTGAATTTGAATTCTTCGCACTCAGTGGATTAACTCTGTTCAGAATTAAGACAAAATCGCTTTTAAATTTTCGCAGTAATTTTTATACAATTTAATATGCTATTGACTCCGCAAAATTCATAAATCTTACTTCCTTGTTAATCGACGTTGAGTTGCCATTTTTGTTACTATGATCATTTTTTTTTTGAAAAGCAAATAGTTTTTTTCTGCTCTGAAAAACAAATTTGGTTTTACCGTATGCGTATAATATGTTCCATGATATCTTTATTTTTCCATAGTCATATTTAAGCATTCATTTAATAATAATAGTTCACACCATCACACAACAGACATTCATCTAAATATTACCTAAAATTCCATCTCGATGTTATTTCTTTGTACCCAAGATTTAAATGTACAATTGTGTTTCTCTCAGTTATGACGTCATGTGGAAGCTCTACATCCGAGAACGGGACCTACTTTGTGAACTCTGGTTACCCTTCATCTTACGACGGCACCGGTTCATGCGAGTTAACTATCATCAAAGCTCACCCTGATGTCTGTCAAATCAGGTATCGGATTACAATTAAATATTATATATTATGCAGCAGTTACTTCATATATGGCCTGTTCTTCTATGAAATTAGTTTTCTATTTTCATTAAACTATTCATGCCTCTTTTCGAGATTTCAAAGTACTCAAAAGATGTGGAAATTCAAAGAAATACACTAGAAATAGATAACCTGTTAGGACACCTTCTTTTGTACACATTGTCTTAACATTTGTATTGCATAATTTTACACTTCTATGAACCAAAAGTCATGAAAAACACGTTCTTCGAAATATAGGGACTCTATACAGCTCTTAAAGATTCCCATCAAAAACTACAAATATCCATTTATATTTTATCTTCGCTTTTATGAAATCACAACAGACATTGAATGCAATTTCTTTTCTTTCAACCAAATATTGCAATGAAATAAATGAAATACTCTATAAAAAATAAATGCTTTCTAGCAATTTCCCGTTTGAAACTACAAACGTAAAATGGATTCATGCGCTTTGAAACCTTTGAAACGAATTTTCAATTTCCACTTCTTTATTGTAACATTAAAAAAGATAAATAACAGTCAATACTGAATTTTCTATACATGTACCAAACCTAGCTTAAAGCTTTTATATGTTCAAAAGAGTTTATTAAAAGATTTTCCAGGAAAAATTACATGAAAATATTGATGTAGATTGCAATATTTTGACCTAACATCACTGTCGATTCCTTGAAATATTTCAATGTTGAAATTCAAATATTACTTTGGTTGTACTCAAATGGAAATCGTTTTATGTCCAAAGCTCATAAGAAACAGCTTTTGATGTTAAAATGAAATCTACGATGCTTTAAACTTCCTTTCTCATTCAGCATTTTAATCCTCTTCCGAGCGCTGCACTGCTAATGATTTGCCAACGCTAAAGTCTTTAGTTGTAGGTAAAAGCTTTATTGATGTTTGCAGTTAATAACTAGCAAGGGAATATTGAAAATTTAATACTGTACGTTGAGTGATTTCTTATTTTATTTATTTATTTAAGGTTTATCAACATTTGTGTTCAATATAACATACATTCTAGTTACAATAAATTTTATGTTAAATAACTAATTGTCACAAATACTTATAGGTAAACACAACATGCACTAGAACATAGAGTAAGAAACTACACTTTACACTAGACTATGAGAATTTTGTTATTTTGTATCAAATAACAAGCAAATATTTTATTAAATCAGTAGACTAGAATTTTAATGAAAAAAAAAACAGTTTGTCAATAAACATAATAGTTCTCACTTCTTAAAAATAACGTTTAACTTGGTAAAAATGTCTATTTAACTTATGACATATACAGCCAGTTGCACAAACGTTCATTAAATATTTTATTAGTTTAAAGCGACATTACCCATACAAATTTGACATTCATTAGAGCTTAAAGGCGTCATTAAACCTTAATGGACGTTTGTGCAACTGGCCAATAGTCAAGTAATCCCTTCGATACGAAGTATAATGTTCGATGATATTGTCATCATCATGAAAATATTAGTGACCAGTTTGGTGCCTGCCCCGTGGATGGAGTCGATCAACATCCGGACCCAGTGTGGATTGGTCTAACAATTAAAGGTGGTCACCCATCCCATGGGCGGACTTGCGAGAGTTGCTTAACATTCAGTCATAGACTGTACACTGCGCCATTGTACTAAAAAGATCTTTGCATTTTGAACGCAAAATACAAACTAATGGTTGCAAAATTTTATGCTGTAGAATATAAATAGTACCACTATTGTATTTTCAAACGTAGACCCTGAAACATTGCAAAATATTATTAAATAATGGTGTTGCACATTTATTGAGTAAAACATTACACAACTACATATACAAGTCAAATAAATATTAAACTATAATTGTAATTATATAACAAATTAAATAATTATAACACCTTTTCATATTTGGGTATATTGAGAACATTGATGAAAATATGAACTAGATGCAAAGTAATTTTATTCTCTCCTAAATATCTGGGTTAGCTTTTAGATATCAGTTAATTATCATTTAAGATGGATTTCAAGTGCATAAACCAATTATGCACTTATAAAATGAGCCCGTTGAAGTCCTTCCCACACTTCTTTATGGATTTCATCGATTACAACTATAGAAAATGCAATTTTGTGTCTGGACGTTAATATAGATGGCCAATAATATTTGTTATGTCGATATCGTCTATTTGTTTTAAAAAAGTATAAATATTCTATTTATTTCAATAATTTTTAACCACCTCTATAACGTCCAGCTTCTATATTGCACTTCCGATATAGGGGTCTAATAACCAAGGGTAAAATAACCAAGCTAGCCGAGCCACAGAAGTCGACCGTTGAATTTCTTAAGTGCTCGTTAATTTGCTTATAGTGTCAATATAAACGAGTTATTAGTTATAAAAATTACACTTGTCAATCTTGCGGAAAAAGAGGCATTTGAAAAAAGTGTGTGTGTTACAGGAAAATTCTCGATTTAATTGCTTAAAGCCGACGTGGCTTCCAATTATGATAATGACTCTAAGGAATACTCTTTTTAACGTGAGGTATTAGATCTGGATCGTATCAACACGTGTGTCAAAATGGTGTAGAATTATCGATGAAACTGGCTTTGAGGTCAGGGACATGTGTTATTTTTATGAAGTTTAAATTATGTAATAACTTTTTGTACATTTGTTTTTACAATGGCCATAAATTTTAAAAACTAGGTTATATTTAAAAAAATAAAGGAAAAATTAAAATTACGCGCACTAGAAATATTACTAGCTGTTGGTATGATTATATTTGTTGTACAAGGACTGATGGCTCAGACATGTAAGCAGATTCCAGGATGCAGACCAAGGTTTAGGCTTTAAAAGTAAATGTGTATTATTACAAGAGACCGTCACTTGTTTAGGGTATGTGATTGACAAAAACGGCGTTCGCGAATGTCCAGGTAAAATAGAAGCTATAACAAATTCTCCCGCGCAAAATAGCATATTGAAAGTTCAACAGTTCTTAGGGGTAAGAAATTATTATTGTAACAACCAATCCAACAGAAGAGGAAATGAGTGTTGAAGATAGCCTTCCATCGACCTCGCATAAAACCAGTGTTACAACGCATGACAAAAATTCGACACTAGTTAGTGAAAATGTAAGAGAATGCTTTAAGCGAATTGGAAATAAGGTAAATTATAAGCAATGCTTCTTAGTGACAACCTTTTTTTGGTATATATGGAAAATAAGGTGGAGGGAGATGCGATGTATGTATTACCATCTACCTACATTTTATGTAATAACTAGTTTTTGTCCGCGACTTCGCCCGCGTGGTTTAGTTACTTTGGGCAGCATATATTTTCCAAAAACGCTATTATTTTTATGTAATGTAATGATAAAATTACCTTGATGCTTAAGTTCGAAGATACTACAGTAAAAAAACCAACAAATATCCAATATGTTTCAGCACTTTATCTTTGTAAACTTTAAAGATTTTCATCCAATCCAATCCAATTTGAAATATAGATGAAAAAAAAAACAGTTTTGAAGTTTATACAAAACTTAATCGAAAACGTAATCTACGCAAAATTCTTTGAAAGACCCCATCATGAATTGGTCAATTCTACGATCTGGCCACGACATTTATATAAACCTATACTTAGGTTATGAATGAACAAATGTAATAAAATAGGATTCTAAAAAATTATCAACTTTTAAATCTTAGGTTAATACCTATCAATCCTCAATAAATTAATTACTGATGAAACGAAAAACACAAATAATTGGAATTTATTTTATCTAAACGGAGCAACATTTTAATGTTTTTGATTTAAAGTCTGCACAAAGTTCTTTGATCAAATTAATATCAATATCACAATTTAGAATATACTCGCCATCAGCTGGCTGAAAAATTATTCTAGGTAAATTTTCTAGGCAAAAAAATCTATGATTTAGAATTTATTCAATGCCGTCTAGTGTAGGTCATATATATAAAAAATATAAAAAAATCCTTCGTAAACAACATTACTTGAATTTGAATATTATTATCCATTAAAATTTAAAAAATGTAGTATTTACTCAAAAATCAGTTTTATGTTATTATGTTAGGTAGTTTTATTACAATGATAAATCAGATTGTAAATAATGGTTGCTATGGTAACATTTTGATTCCCCATAAAATCTTTTACTCCCATTTTTATTCCTTTAAGTGCTAGTTTTCGGGACAAAATAGAACCTACTACCTTCCTAGGGTCATAAACTACCCAAATACCAATTATCATCGACAAAGGTACATAAACAAAGAAGTTTCATACAAACTTTTTCACTCTTTTTGACCCCTTTTGGGATGGAATTTCCAAAAATCCGTTCTCCGTACATCTCTACATATTAAGAGGAATGTTCCCTCCAAATTTCAAGTTTCTACGACCAGCGGTTTAGGCTGTGCAGTTACTTATTAAGAAATGAATTAGCAACAGAAAGGGATGTATTTCAATACGTATAAAAACACAAGATACAAGACCGACATCAAGTAAACTAACAATCAAACAATAAGTAACAAAAGAAAAAAATATATATAAAAAACATAAAAAATATTTGCTTGGGTATTCATATTTTGACAATTTCCGAAAACAAATATTATTATCAAGTTAATTTTATTGCTACAATCATTTCTTTTGTGAAAGCCTCGGATCTAAAATCTAAATATATTATGATTCACTATATACTAATTCTACGACTTCCTCTTTTAATAGCGGTAACAAAATCGGATATCGCCATAAGGACTGTATATGCAGACTGTAGCGACAGACGTTGCTGTGAATGTAGCTTGAGTTACTTTAGAGTCTAGATGTTTGTTCGATGCGCTATCCAAGGGATCCCTAAGGATATGTAATCTGAAAGCTCTAACGAAGTCTGTTATAAACTTTTTGCTTGCAGACGGGCTGGTCTTGTGAGAGACAACTAATAGGCAAGGATGAGACTGACAACAGATGACAGTTAGACTTAATATCAATAACGTCTTAA